CCCTCAGTTTTAAAGCTATCTATTTAAAGCTATCGGACGACTATATGATATAGCTGCCATAGGAACGATCGGGAAATGATTAGGAAAATAATTATAGCTTCTTTGTTTTTCAACGTATTTTCATCTACTCTGAGATATAAGCTTATTTTATTATTTCAGAATTTTGGTATAAATTTCATATAAATTGGACGACTATATCATATAGCTGCCATAGAAGCGATCGGTAGATGTAGAGAAAATGTAAAGCTGGGAATGTAAAACTGTAACTGTCAAACCGTAAACATAATAAGTATTGTAACGAATCTCTCCGGCCGGGATAAACCTCAGTCGTGACCAGGGATCCTCTTCAAGAAATTTATTTAGAGGGGACGGAAATATTTATAGGAATTTATTATAACAGCGTGCGGGACCCGGGTTGCGAATTTACGCGCACCTAGTTCTGATCCCCGAGGGTCGGCAACGTGACTGCCAGACGAGGTGGTCACGAGATGCTCCAGGAGCAGGCGGGGCACACGCGCTGCTTGTCAATGGCCGGTCGCCGCGCTGCTTTTACCGACTCGTCGATCTGCTTGATCGGTCGGTCCCTGACAGAAAGCTGCTCGTCGCGAACTGCTTTAGACACTGCTTGCGCCTACTGCTTGTTTGTACTGCTTTCGCCGGTGCGCGGAGTGGCAACTCCGGTGGACTCCCGGCGGGATTTGGTTGATCTCGCCCAGAATTCGGGCGACGTGGGTCGAGGGAATGGCCAGGGGCGTCAGAGAGGTGTTAGTCAACTCCGGCTGGGCACGGAGGCTGGCTACGGGTCGGTCAGGCAGAGATTCTCGAGTCACCGTGGTGTGCGGAATGGCCACTGCAGGCGTGGCGGCAGCGTGTGTCGGAGTGTCCCTACTCTAGGAGTGGATACGGACGCGGATGCACTCGTAGTCGTGGCGGTACACAGTACGCGGGAAACCAGCGTTAGTGGCGCGACGGCTACGGGCACAAGAAGGGGGTCCCTAGTGGGGCGAAGGCAGAGGAGCACGTGTCCTCCAGTCGCGGCGGCACGTGGAGCACGGAAGGAGCCTGTGCTGGCGTGGCGCGGCGGCTGCAGGTATGACCGAGGGTCCTAAACTGTGCGTGGACGGAGGAGGATGTGTACTCCAGTCGCGGCGGCGCGCTGTGCACGGAAGAGCCAGTGCTGGCGTAACGCTACGACTGCAGTTGCGGCAGAGGATTCCTAAGCTGGACGTGGGTGGAGGAGTAGGTATCCTCCAGTCGCGGCGGCACGCTGTGCACGGAATGAGCCTGTGCTGGCGTGACGCTGCGGCTGTGGGCACGAGAAAGGATCCCTAACTGAACGAGGGCAGAGGAGCAGGTGTCCTCCAGTCGCGGCGGCACGCTGTGCACGGAATGAGCCTGTGCTGGCGTGACGCTGCGGCTGTGGGCACGGGAAAGGATTCCTAACTGAACGAGGGCAGAGGAGCAGGTGTCCTCCAGTCGCGGCGACACGCTGTGCACGGAAAGAGCCTGTGCTGGCGTGACGCTGCGATGGGAGCACGGGAGAGGATTCCTAGCGGCGCGGGGCAGAGGAGCAGGTGGTCTCCAGTCGCGGCGGCACGCTGGGCACGGAAAGAGCCTGTGCTGGCGTGACGCTGCGGCGGGGAGCACGGGAGAGGATTCCTAACGGCGTGGGGCAGAGGAGTAGGTGTCCTCCAGTCGGGGCGGTACGTTATGCACGGAATGGACCTGCGCTGGCGTGACGCTGCGGCTGTGGACGCGGGAGAGGATCGATGGGAGGCTGGATGGCCGTAAAACACGTGCGAGTGGAAATGCCGAAACGCAGTGTTTTGGGGCCGCCAGCGGGACAGAGATCGGGGAACCTGAAACCGTGACCAATACTACCAAGGAAATACTACTACGGGTAGGTTCAATTGTTAGTTTATTGGTTATGGGGTTATCTAAGTGTGTAGCCTACTACTGCCTTACAGAATTGACTCCTGTAACTTACGAATCTAGCCCCCTTTGTCTGCGGGCGTGTGGCTGCCGATCGCGGTCGTTGGCTGGCACAATTTATCTCCGCGAATGTGTGGGCTCTGGTAGCCGATGGCTCTGCGCGGTCACGTACGTCGCGGTTGCTACTCAGGACTCGATGCACTGTGTTTTCCTGACTCGGTCGCGGAGGCGCGGAGATGGGCACGTCTGCCTCGGTGCGAAGTTTCGACGGAAGAGAGCGAATGCCGGAAGACGCGAGCTGTCATATATTGAGAACTGGTGGTTCGAACCAGTTCGACGCGATTTGATTTAGTTCGACTAGTCGATCATTTTCCCGGTTCGGCGACTTCTAAGGTGCCGAACTTAGCTTAATATTTTTAAATTAACTATTTTTACTTTTAGTATACTTCAAGTCTGCGTCTGTTAAGGCTTCAATGCCAACTTAAACGTTTAATGAATGAGATTGCGTGGCTCCAGTGCCGTCTTAAACCTAATGATTATATAATAGGGGGAGAATATCTATATACTTATTAGCTAATTCTTAAATTATAGCAAGATGTTGTGCGCCTGTAGAATAGAGGCGTCACACTCCCTCCTTACTCCGCCCGGCCGAAACGGATCTGCACTTCTCCTGTTGTCTTCATTGTTATTTGGTATGGTCCTTCCTGCGTGCGGACGCGGAAGCGCTGACGGGAGTACTGTGCGGCATGGCTCCGGCGCGCTATCTCCTGCCAAACCGCCAGTGGAACTCGCTGGTCGTGCGTGTTAGTCCACCAGGCGGCTGGTATGGCGACTCGCTCGGGCGCTGGGTCGTCGGTGGTGAAATCATCCGCCGGAGGGGCTCGACGAGCAAAGCGTGGCGCCGGAGGTGGATCCTCGTCGGTGGTGGTGGCCGCAGGAACTGGGCGCGGGAAGCGCGGTGCCGGAGGTGGGACCTCGTCGGCGGTGGTGGTCGCAGGGACTGGGCGCGGGAAATGCGGCGCTGGAGGGGCACTTGGGTCCCAGTCTGGGATTAATTCTTGTACAAGACCCTCTACTCCCGGCTCGAGCTCCTCCATGAGTATGTCCATCGTGCCCGGAGAGAGATCGAACCCGCGATCTCCGAAGCCGACACGTGGGGTGGCTGGGGGAGTGACCTCCTCGTGGGTAGTGGAGCGGTTATGGTTTGCTGCCCGGCGGTTGGTCTCGGCAGCGTTGTGTAGCGCGTTCATTGCAGTGGCTATCTCGCGGCGGTGGGCCGAGGATCGCTGGTCAGGCATAGCAAGGTTCGGCTGTGGCCGTGGTTGTGTCTCCTTGCGGCGGAATTTTTGCCCCGTCTCTGTCTCGCTGTCGCTGCTCTCCGATTCCCATAGCATTGCCTTCCCGGTGGGCTGGTAGCCATGCTCGGTGGTCTCGTCGGCGGTGGGGATCGAGCCTTGGCTTGATGATGCTAGCGGTGCGTCGTCATCGATCTGGTCGCTGATGCGGAGCGCGGGTTGGCTCGTGGGCGCCCGTGGGGCGTTGTTGTAAGTCTGGTCGCTGATGTTGTGGAGCGCTTGTCGGCTCGTGGATGCCCGTGGGGCGTTATCGTAGGCTTTGTCGGTGATGTGGCGAAGCGCTTGTTGGCTCGTGGATGCCAGTGGTGCGTTGTCGTCGGCCCGGTCGCCGGGGAAGATGGGTAGGACCGCATCCTCCCCCAGTGCTGGCGACGGCGGGTGGACCTCGGGGGTGTTTCCCAAGTCCATCTCCCAGCCCTCGTCCGGGGCCATTATACACAGCCTCTCCGGTGACGGGGGAAAGGTGACAATCGGGTCAGGAGTTGGCCGGAAGGGTGCCTCAATGAGGATGGAGGTGTAGCGGGCGTGGATTAACTGAATCCACGATCCCCGCCAGAACCCGTACCGCTCCTCTCCTTCCCATTGATAGTGGGCTGCCGAGGGGGCACCATCGTCTGGCTCGCTGTCGCTACTAATGGTTTGAGCGTCGTCGTTGCTCTGTTCGCCGGCTTCCTCCCCGTGGTGTCCGGGGTACAGAGGGGTGGCGTCGCTGTCGGTGGCATCCTCCAGTACATAGTCCTCGTCGCGTGTCGGGGCAGCTGGACTGGAGGATCGGGAGTCTCCCTCCTCGTCGTCGTCCTCGTCCGACTCCGGGTCCTGCTGGCGAGGGCTGCATGGACTGTAGTGCCCTGCAGGTGGTGGAGCAGCAGCGGTCGGGTCAGGGTGTCCTGGAGCGGGGCGCGGGTTGTGGAACCAACGCGAGTGGCCCGGCGCGTCCGGATTTGGCGGGCCCGGGTTGTAGGAACCTTGGTAGGGTCCCGACGGCGGAGCTTGGGAGCAGGGGATCCTGCGTCCCGTTCTGTCCGTGTAAAACGGAGAGATTGAGCGGCCCGAGGGTCGTGGAGGCGTTGGTGGCGCGACGCGCCGTGGTGGCGAGGTTGACGGAGACTCGTCCGACGACTCGGACATTGGGTGCGGCGTGGCCCGGCGCGGTGGCGCTCTGGACATACTTGGGCGCATCGGGGGCGACGGGGCTCGGGAGCGGCCCGAGGGTCGTGGCGGCGTTGGTGGCGCGGCGCGCCGTGTTGGCGAGGCTGAAGGCGACTCGTCCGACGACTCGAACGTTGGGTGCGGCGTGGCTCGGCGCGGTGGCGCTCTGGGCATGGTTGGCTGCATCGGGGGCGACGGGGCTCGGGTAGGGCCTCGAGCCTGTCGGATCCCGGTTGGGCAGGCTCTCGTGGGTCTGCCGGCGTAGTATGCGCCAGGGCGTAGCCGGGGGTCGCGGCCGTTCGTTGGCCTGTCGTATGCTCCATTGGGAGCCGTGTTCTCCTCGTCGCTGGAGTCGATTGTGATGGGCTCCATCCTGATTCGCTCGTGGCACGGGCGTAGATACGTGAATGAGTGAATCTATGGGAGAAAGAGAACTATCCAAACTTAAACTAACCAGTACTTAAATGTTAATGTCCTAACGGGCAGTAGTAGGCAAAAGTTCTAATGTTAATCTAATTGCTAACAATGGTCTTAGGGTTAGAAAACTTAGTGGGCTGCTTAAATTCACCCCTCGCTGGTATCGTGGTCAGGTGGCCGTGGCTTGTCGGACCCGGGTTGAACGCCGGTGTTGTCCTCCGACATGGCGTCGTCGTCACTGTCTGCATCACCTGCGGGAAGAGAAGAATGGAATTCTTTTAAGTCGGCGATATTGGCAAGGCGGCCCTTTCTTTTCCCAGGCAAGCGGATTCGGGCTATGTTTGGGGACGGAAGGGCGACCACTTTATATGGCCCGTCGAACTTGGGCGCGAGTTTGGCAGCGAACCCATCCACGGCCTTGGATAGGTGATGCTGGCGCACGAGGACCAGTGAGCCGATGGTGGGCCTCCATGCCCGACGCCTGAGGTCATACTGTCGTCCTTGGTCGCGGCTGGCCTTCTGGATGTTTGTCTGGACGATCTGGAAAATTTCCTTCAGTCGTCCAGCTCGGTCGGCAGGGGTCTCCGGAGCGACGCCTGCTCCCGGTGTCACTTGATCGTACCATGAGCCTGGTAACCGCGGCTCTCGTGCCTGTAGTAGGAAAGCCGGGCTGTACCCTGTGGTCTCCGAAATGCTGGTATTGATGGCGAGGCTCAGCTCAGGTATTAGCTGATCCCACGTACTCTGATCGCTGCCGACGTACTGAGAGATCATGGTCTTGACTGTGCGGTTCGCTCGCTCCGTGGGGTTCTCGCGTGGGCAATAGGGGGCCGTGTATTGAAGTTCTACGCCCATCTCCTTAAGGAATCCTCGGAAGGCCTTGCTGGTGAATTGGGTGCCATTGTCGCACACCAGTTTCTTTGGGGCTCCGAACCTCCCGATGATTCTTTCGCGGAACGCCTGTATCAACGTGGTGGTGGTGGCTTTTCGCAATGGGACCAGTTCCACCCACTTGGTGAAACTATCGAAGAAGACCAGCAGCATTGTGTTACCTGCCTTGGAGCGCGGTAATGGTCCCACGAAATCTGCACATACGATGCCAAAGGGTTCATCGACCTGCCTCGTCAACATCCTTCCTGCTTGTGCCTTTTGCTCTGCTTTATATTTCTGGCAGAGGACGCATTGACGGACGTATTGTTTCACGTCGCGGAACATTCCGGGCCAGTAATATTTTTGTGAGATCCGCAGAATCGTCTTCCGGGTGCCAAAGTGGCCAGCCGTGGGCGCCTCGTGGCATTCTTGGAGGATCCGTGCTCGTTGCTCAGCCGCAACGCAGAGCTTCCAAGGAATATAATCTTGGTCGTCTGGGCGGTGTCCGAGGTGTCGATACAGCTCTCCGTTTTCGATGACATAATCGGGAAATCGCTGGGGGTCGTCCTGAACTTCCGTGAGTTTTCGTTTCAGCCATTTGCACAAGCGTTCGTCTGGCATTAGTCGTTGGAGGTGCTCCAGTGGTTGCCGGGATAGGGCATCGGCGACCACGTTATATTTCCCGCGGCGATAGTGGACATCGTATTGGTACTGTTGAAGTTCTAAGGCCCACCTGGCGATCCTTCCAGTCGGGTTCTCAATTTGATCTAACCATTTCAGGGCCAAGTGGTCTGTGATCACGTCGAAGCGATAGCCCTCGAGATAGCATCGGAGCTTACGAATTCCCCAGACGATGGCTAGGCATTCCTTTTCCGTAGGAGAATAATTGAGTTCGGCAGCGTCTAGCTTCCGACTCACGTATGCGATGACCCGTTCTTGCCCCTCTATTTCTTGTGTCAGCACACCTCCGAGTCCATAGTTACTCGCGTCGGTCTGGAGCGTCATCTTGACGGAAAAGTCTGGACATGCCAGTACCGGAGCATCCGTTAGCAGACTTTTGAGGAGCTCGAAGGCTTTCTGTTGTTCTTGCTCCCACTTCCACCGCTGGTTTTTGCGCAGCAAGTTCGTCATGGGCTGAACAACAGACGCGAAGTTCGGTACGAACCTCCTGTACCATGAGGCCATGCCTAGGCATCTGCGTAACTCTCGAAGACTCGTGGGTGGGCTGAGGTTCCGCACGGCGGCTACCTTTTCAGGGTCCGTGTGAATGCCCTGGTCGCTAATGACGTGGCCGAGATAAACCAACTTCCGTTTGAAGAAGGAACATTTGTCTTGATTTATCCGTAAGTTCGCCTTCCTGAGCCGCTTGAAGACTCTCCGCAAATTTTCCATGTGCTCTTCGAGACTGGCACCGATGACGATTATGTCGTCTAGATAAGCGAAGGCATATGGGTCCATGTCTGGCCCGATCACGCTGTCGAGCGCTCGCTGGAAGGTGGCTGGAGCCGAATGGAGCCCAAAAGGCATGACCCGCCACTGGAAAAGGCCGCGGCCAGGGACCGTAAAGGCGGTACACGCCCGACTGCCTGCTTCCATTGGAATCTGCCAATAGCCATTGCGCAAATCCAGGGTGGAAATATATTTTGCATTTCGGAGCCGCTCAAGGATATGGTTGATACGCGGCAGTGGATACGCGTCGGGGATCGACTTGGCATTTAGCTGACGATAATCTACGCACATGCGCCATTGTCCAGTCTTTTTCCTGACCAGGACCAAGGGAGCGCTGTGCGGACTGCGCGATGGCTCGATGCAATGCTGATCAAGGAGGGCGTCCACCTGCTCGTCGATGATCTTCTGCATAGCCGGGTTCTTTGGGAAATACCGCTGCTTGATGGGCCGATCGTCTCGCATGGTAATCCTATGCTCGGCGATATTGGCCACTCCGGTCATTCCCTCGAACTGGGCCAGCTGCTCGTATAAAAACTCCTGGATACGAGGGTCTTGTTCCTCGTTGATGGCCTCGGGGGCGCCCTCAAGATTCTCCTCGGGTGTCTCGGGGTGTGTGTCGATGTGTGTCTCTGTGTGCTTGTCCTCGGTATTTACCATCTCATGTAGGTTCATGAGATTACTCTCAGAGGTTCCTGTGCTTGGGTTCCTGTGTGCCTCTGTGTATTTCCCTTGTATGCCCGCGCTGGGGCTCTCGTGTGTCTCTGCGTGTCTACCTTGTGTGCCCGCGTCAGGGCTCCCGTGTGTCTCTGTGTGTCTACCTTGTGTGCCCGCGTCGGGGCTCCTGTGTGTCTTCCTTGTGTGCCCGCGTCGGGGCTTCCGTGTGTCTCTGCGTGTCTTCCTTGTATGCCCGCTCCGGCGTTCGTGTTCTGTGTGTGTGTCTTCCTTGTATGCCCGCGTCGGGGCTCCTGTGTGTCTCTGTGAAATGGTCGGCGATGCCCAGGCGGGGGTCTTTCTGGCGAGTAGGCGGTGCTTCCTTGCTCAGCTCGGATCCGGCTGGGCCCCGTGGGCTGGGTGGTTCGGTGGTTCGAGAGTCCGTTGTATGTATGCTGCGTCTCGCGTCTCTGGGTGGCCTCATGTCCCGCTCTTCCGGCTGTCGTCTCGACAGGATGAGTTTGGCCGTCCCACACTGGATGGTGGTGCCGATCGTGGCCAGGAAATCCATGCCCAGGATCAGGGGTTCCAGTATGGCCGGCATAACGAAGAGGGGCACCTGGATAGTCTTCCGAGCGAGGGTGATATCGGCGCGCAGGAGTTGTCGAACATCGACTCGCGAGGTGTCGGCCAAGTTAATTTGGGTGCGGATCTCCTGAAACTGGTGTCGTTGGCCAACTAGGTTGGCGACTTCCTGGCTGATGAAGCTCTTCGATGCGCCAGTGTCGATGGCGGCCAGACGTCGATGGCCACCGATCTCGACTTCTGCGGCGATCCTCCCTCTCTCGATTCTTAGCGGCGCGTTTACAAGGTGTTCGTTGCGGGATTGGTCCCCAACGGACTCCGCCGGTCGTGGGGACCCGCTCCGTTTCCCGGCTGGGGTCGGCGGCAGCACTCGACGGTGCGAACATCGCGTCGTCCGCAGTCCCAGCAAAAGTATAGCCGAGGGTTCCGGCATTCGCGGCTGAAATGCCCGGAATCCCCGCAATTTCGGCACGCATCCTGCACGTTGATGCGGCGATCTGGTGCCGCTACCCGGTTTACTCGCACGGGCGCGGGCGGCCGTACCTGGCCTGGCGTCCGCGGAACGTCGTTTGATCTGGTGCACCCGGGAGAAAATGTTTGACCCCCACTGTGGGGAGGCGGACGGAAGGAGGGGCTACTCGGAGGCGTTGACATGGCTTGGGGTCGCCCTAGGCTGCGTCGCCTGACGGCTTCGAATTCGGTCGCCAGTTGAGCCAGCTCCCCAATTGTTTGGAACTCGCTGCGCCGAATGTACATCTGATAGTCGGGTGCGATATTCTCGTACAGGCGGTCGAGCTCCTGAGTCTCGTTATAGCCCGCGTGGCGCATGAGAACGCGAAGGTCGAGCATGTAATCTTTAAAAGTTTCTTCTCCTAGCTGCTCGCGACTCCGGATTCGGTCGTCCAAGCGCTGGAGGTATCTGGGCGGGAGGAAAAACTCGAGGAATTCCCGTCGGAATGTAGCCCAATCAGCCTCTTGGAGGCGGCTGGTTTGAAACCACTTGTCGGCCCTGCTCGTCAGCAGTTCCGCCATGGCTCGAGGGAGGAGTCCTAGGTTGATTCCATAAGACAAGGCCCGACTTTCGACCTTTTCGATGAAGGCCAATGGGTCGGAGTACCCATCAAATTGCAAACCCCATTTGCGGATCCGCTCTGGGACGCACACAAAGTCGCGACGAGGCCGGTCGTAGCTTGGCTCAGCGTAGGTTTCTCGAGCGGTAGTGAAAGTTGGAGGGGCGGCGACGGCGAGGCTTGGGGCGGTAACAGTGAAGCTGGGAGTGCTAACAACGAAGCTAGTTAGAGGAACTGGGGTAGTGGAACCGGGGGCGCTACGTGGGCGTCCAGAATTGGCATTTTTGCCTGCGGAGAGACCACTGGGTCCCGGCCGCTCTTCTCCCTGAGGCACAGGGCTCGGGCCCCGAGTGGTATATCGACGCTCCAGGTCGGCGAGTCGAGTCCACACTTCCTGTGGTTGCTCGGATTCCTTGATCAGGGTGACGAAGCTCCGTCGTAGGTCATCGACGACCCCGTCGGGAGAGAACCCAAATTCTTCCGCGAATGCTAATAATTCGGCCTTCGGGCGGGAATAGATCCACCGCGAGGAGACCCCAGGGTTTTTAAGTAAACGTGGAACGAACTCACCGGCAGGTTTCTGGTCCGAATCCATGGCTTCTGTTGCTCGGCTGTCTTCTCGTGTGTCTGTGTCTGTGATATCAGGAAGCCTTGGCCGCTGGGGCACTTTGCGTGAATTAACAGTCTGGTGGCACTAACACTCGTTCGCGTTGACTTGGCGGAGACGCGGATGAGCTCGTGGGCTCCTGGACGCGGCTACTGGTGGACACGGTTGTCGCTTGTCGCGGTTACTGAGCGAGGCGGTTTTAATTTCGCGGTCACGGGCACTTTTCGGTGGATTTTCACTCGCGGAATCCGGTGGAAGTTATTTTCCGGCTTCGGCCCGGGGCCACACGGCTGTTATATAGGTGTTATTTTTCCTGGTTTTTAACCCAATCCCGTCCCTGTTCGGGCGCCACTTGTAACGAATCTCTCCGGCCGGGATAAACCTCAGTCGTGACCAGGGATCCTCTTCAAGAAATTTATTTAGAGGGGACGGAAATATTTATAGGAATTTATTATAACAGCGTGCGGGACCCGGGTTGCGAATTTACGCGCACCTAGTTCTGATCCCCGAGGGTCGGCAACGTGACTGCCAGACGAGGTGGTCACGAGATGCTCCAGGAGCAGGCGGGGCACACGCGCTGCTTGTCAATGGCCGGTCGCCGCGCTGCTTTTACCGACTCGTCGATCTGCTTGATCGGTCGGTCCCTGACAGAAAGCTGCTCGTCGCGAACTGCTTTAGACACTGCTTGCGCCTACTGCTTGATTGGACTGCTTTCGCCGGTGCGCGGAGTGGCAACTCCGGTGGACTCCCGGCGGGATTTGGTTGATCTCGCCCAGAATTCGGGCGACGTGGGTCGAGGGAATGGCCAGGGGCGTCAGAGAGGTGTTAGTCAACTCCGGCTGGGCACGGAGGCTGGCTACGGGTCGGTCAGGCAGAGATTCTCGAGTCACCGTGGTGTGCGGAATGGCCACTGCAGGCGTGGCGGCAGCGTGTGTCGGAGTGTCCCTACTCTAGGAGTGGATACGGACGCGGATGCACTCGTAGTCGTGGCGGTACACAGTACGCGGGAAACCAGCGTTAGTGGCGCGACGGCTACGGGCACAAGAAGGGGGTCCCTTGTGGGGCGAAGGCAGAGGAGCACGTGTCCTCCAGTCGCGGCGGCACGTGGAGCACGGAAGGAGCCTGTGCTGGCGTGGCGCGGCGGCTGCAGGTATGACCGAGGGTCCTAAACTGTGCGTGGACGGAGGAGGATGTGTACTCCAGTCGCGGCGGCGCGCTGTGCACGGAAGAGCCAGTGCTGGCGTGACGCTACGACTGCAGTTGCGGCAGAGGATTCCTAAGCTGGGCGTGGGTGGAGGAGTAGGTATCCTCCAGTCGCGGCGGCACGCTGTGCACGGAATGAGCCTGTGCTGGCGTGACGCTGCGGCTGTGGGCACGGGAAAGGATCCCTAACTGAACGAGGGCAGAGGAGCAGGTGTCCTCCAGTCGCGGCGGCACGCTGTGCACGGAATGAGCCTGTGCTGGCGTGACGCTGCGGCTGTGGGCACGGGAACGGATTCCTAACTGAACGAGGGCAGAGGAGCAGGTGTCCTCCAGTCGCGGCGACACGCTGTGCACGGAAAGAGCCTGTGCTGGCGTGACGCTGCGATGGGAGCACGGGAGAGGATTCCTAGCGGCGCGGGGCAGAGGAGCAGGTGGTCTCCAGTCGCGGCGGCACGCTGGGCACGGAAAGAGCCTGTGCTGGCGTGACGCTGCGGCGGGGAGCACGGGAGAGGATTCCTAACGGCGTGGGGCAGAGGAGTAGGTGTCCTCCAGTCGGGGCGGTACGTTATGCACGGAATGGACCTGCGCTGGCGTGACGCTGCGGCTGTGGACGCGGGAGAGGATCGATGGGAGGCTGGATGGCCGTAAAACACGTGCGAGTGGAAATGCCGAAACGCAGTGTTTTGGGGCCGCCAGCGGGACAGAGATCGGGGAACCTGAAACCGTGACCAATACTACCAAGGAAATACTACTACGGGTAGGTTCAATTGTTAGTTTATTGGTTATGGGGTTATCTAAGTGTGTAGCCTACTACTGCCTTACAGAATTGACTCCTGTAACTTACGAATCTAGCCCCCTTTGTCTGCGGGCGTGTGGCTGCCGATCGCGGTCGTTGGCTGGCACAATTTATCTCCGCGAATGTGTGGGCTCTGGTAGCCGATGGCTCTGCGCGGTCACGTACGTCGCGGTTGCTACTCAGGACTCGATGCACTGTGTTTTCCTGACTCGGTCGCGGAGGCGCGGAGATGGGCACGTCTGCCTCGGTGCGAAGTTTCGACGGAAGAGAGCGAATGCCGGAAGACGCGAGCTGTCATATATTGAGAACTGGTGGTTCGAACCAGTTCGACGCGATTTGATTTAGTTCGACTAGTCGATCATTTTCCCGGTTCGGCGACTTCTAAGGTGCCGAACTTAGCTTAATATTTTTAAATTAACTATTTTTACTTTTAGTATACTTCAAGTCTGCGTCTGTTAAGGCTTCAATGCCAACTTAAACGTTTAATGAATGAGATTGCGTGGCTCCAGTGCCGTCTTAAACCTAATGATTATATAATAGGGGGAGAATATCTATATACTTATTAGCTAATTCTTAAATTATAGCAAGATGTTGTGCGCCTGTAGAATAGAGGCGTCACAGTATAGGTAAAATGTAATGAAATAATATCTGCAAGGGTATTCAAACTTCGGCGTGCCAAAGTTAGCTTCTTGTTTTTAAGTTTTCGTTTATTAATATGTTATAATATGCAAAAATATTAAAATAAAAAAAATTTTCTAACAATTGTGGATAAAAAAAATGAAGAAAAGAATAGAACAACATTAATATGAATTTTATATGAATATACTGCAGTTCTATTATGTGGGCGGCAGACAAGGAAAAGTGGCAGTGTAAAAAAAAAACCGAAATTCACAAATAATATAAGCAGCAAATTCTACAAGTTTCAACTTTCTAGCTTTAAAATTACGGTTGTGGCCAAAATAAAGGCATTTCATCCCAATGTGCATTGTCGGAACTTCCTATTTAATGAAACCATCTTTCCGCTATTCAGTTGGTCTCTAAAAGATTTTCGGATAGGGACCACTTAGTTAGTAGTTCTTGGTGATTTTAACATTTTTTGGTCCCTAGATAATTCCATTAACCGCAACACATCACAAAAAATGTGGTTTACCAAAGAACACTTCAATTAAACGGTAATTTGCCGAAGGTAGCGTAACGGCGTTCGCCGGGTTTACTAGTTCCTCATATATTCTTTATTTATTCCTCATATATTTCTTATACATTTCTCATATATTCCTCATCTCATAAAAAAGCTATTCTTCTTAAATTATAATTTGGAAAAAATAGCAAGCCCTTTTAACGTGTTATGAATATGCGAAGAAAATAATAAAATGTGTGTAAATTTGTAAGTTGGCAAATAAAATATGAAAATGAAGGCATTGAATGATAAAAATAGGTTCGACAGGAACAAATTCAAATTAAATAGTTTTAACATTGATCCCCATGTATGATGGCAAAGGTGCCGGGGTGGATTCCAATGAGAGCGAAGACGTTGAAAGAGACGTCATAGAACCATTTGGGGATTCAAGCGAATAATTCACATTGTTGGAATTTAATGTGGAAGTTGGGACAGTATACTCTTAGGCGAGCCACAAGCCGCGTTACCAGTGCTAATGTGCACAAGTTAATGTGTTGACTTATTTGATGTCCGGTGGTTGGCGTTGCGGCTGAGCTTTTCAGGTGTAATGTAAATCTGTCTTTGGAATTCGCTGTATGGGTTGTACATTGATTCTGAGTACCCTTCGTACATCTATTGAGTAGAGTGTGAAAAAAATTTACATGTTATTTATTTAAAAAGTCGTCGGGTAGGTAGCTCCCCCATGTTGACACTCTGTAGTCGTCGTCTTGTTCCTCTTGTGGTCAGTCTTCTGGACTTAACAGTCGGCTATGATGCCTGGCAGAGAGTGTATTTATATCATCTCCAACCGCATGGACTCGGAGTACTGTACGGATGTCTTTGCTCCTAATATACCACTCCGCAGGTGAATTCTCTTTAAGGGCGTCCTTGCCGCTGTGCCGTAAATCGCCACTTCATATCGCCAAATCGGAGCTATCAGGGACTGGTAGAGGCGAGTCTTGCATTTGAGACTCAGCTTGGTCGTACCAGCTTAGACGTCTAGCGGTGTTTTGCAGCAAAGCCCTTGTCTGCTTGCCGTGAGAGCTAAACGTCAGCCTCTTGTCCAGGACCAGACCCATATATGTGATCTCCACGTGTTGTGGCAAGAGCTGACGGTGAAGAAAGACCCCTGGACAAGTGCCTCTGTGTTGATGGCCACATTCCATCTGCAGGCCCAGTTCTCATACTTCTTCAAGGAAATGACTACTGACGTGCTGTCAGATAAGTTTAGGGAGACTCTCTACGTTTGAGGTTCTTACGAACAAATTGTTATAATTTGCTCATTCATGCAATTTAAGGGGGTCTTCTCATTCAAAACCCGTTTTTTTGACCCTTTTTAAAAAAATTCTTATTTGAAAACGCAAAGAATAATTGAAAACTTTTTTTATTTATTGTATTAAAAAATGCCTCGATACGAGGGTTGTTCAAAGAGTAATGAGACTTCAAACTTGGTGGTGGAAAAAAAAAGGTGTCGTCCTGGCGGCCACGATTCAGGGTCTCCAGAGCGTCCGAAATGAAAAAAAAAACAAGAAAGGAAGCTAACTTCGACACACCGAAGTTTGTATACCCTTGCAGATTGGTTTTGATGTTTATATTATAAATTTAAATGCTGAAAACACTCACAAAGCAGAGTTTCATTACATTTTACCTATACTTATTATGTTTACAGTTTTACAGTTACAGTTTTACATTCCCAGCTTTACATTTTCTCTACATTTACCGATCGTTTATATGGCAGCTATATGATATAGTTGTCCGATTTTCATAAAATGTATACCAAAATTCTGAAATAATAAAAAAAGCTTATATCTAAAAGAAGATAAGAATATGTTG